CGGCCTGGGAGCAGAAGCACTTTGGGTCGGGGGGCTGGGAGGAAAGATTGGTTTTCGGGGTTGGGGGGGGGACAGACGTGGCTGGACAGAGTCCAGCGCTTTGTCCGGCTTTGGAAAGCCTTTGGACGGGGGTGGGCGAGTGGGCGGGTCTCCCCGACCGTCGACGGAGGTGTACCAAGACTGCAGAACCCAGCAGATGTATCTGCACTTCAGTCGGGTTGAGGGGGGCGGGGGGGGGCGTTTCCTTAGCACCCAGGTTGGGCACCGACTCTGCCGCAGGCCCCCTCCTCCAGCCCTTTCCCGGCCCACGAGAAGGACCCAGGCCAGCGTCTTGGTTGTAGGAGATGCCAATTTCAGTATTAACGCTCAGGACGACAAGAGGGATTCTCCACTCCGGTTGAAGGTTTTCCGGACCCCGGCCGGATCTCGGGGACAGCGGGGGATCCGGTCCGACGGAATTTCACAGCTGCTGTTCCAGTGTCGTGTTTCAGACTCGGCCAAAGCGGGGCGGGCCGAGTCCTCGGAGCCGTCTCCGCCCCGCTTTCGCCATGCCTTCCCCTCCCCGCTTAAAAAAAAAAAGTTTGGAGTGTCAAGAACGGGCATTCAGAAGGAAGCCGCGGGACTGAGGCGCCCCCGTCCCGCCACCTCGTTGCACTGATAGCGTTTTAAGTTAGCAGACCCTTCATGGTGAAAGAGCCCCCCACCCCCGGGACCGGGACTGCCCCCCCTGCTTGGCCCGCGGGTGCCTCGCGGGGACCTCGCATTCTCCGACCAGGACTGGTACAGCAGAGCAGCACATTCCGCAGATGGCTGCCGGGATTTAGATGGGAACGAGGGGGATTGTCCGGCCCGGTTCTACAGAAGAGATCGGGGTCCAGCGTGCCGGGCCAAGAGCTTTCTGCCTCTTTCGTGGGACGGTCCCTTGGGAAGAGATCCAAAGAACTTCAGACCCATGTCTCGGTCTCAGCTCACCCGTGCTTCTGAAACCCCCTCCGGTCCCTGTCAAGCCACGTAACAGCCGCTGTCGGGCCGAGTAAACCAGCTTCTCCGCTCGCCACTGCTCCCGCGTGTGTCTCTCTGCCCTTTACCTTTCAGTCTTTTCAGCTTTCCCTCTTGGATCATCAACTGGCTCCAGATCCCGCCCGCAAGGGGGCAGGGGGCATTGGAGGGGCAAAGCCCCTCTTTCGTAGTTACCCCTCTTTACCCGTGTCCCCCGTCCACTCCCCCTCAGACTCCTACAACTGAAGGACTCCTGTCTTCCGTCTCCTCCAGTACAGAGTTCTGGAGCTGCGGATGGAGAGACGTCTCATACCTCAAGCATCCTCCCCTGGGGTCAGGTGCAGGGCCCGCCTGAGCCCCCCTTGCCCGCGCCCCTCCAAGGCGAACCTCCGCAGGGTTACCTTTCTGTCTCGCGAGAGCGCCTGCTGGATTCCAGTCGCCTTTGCGGTCACTCCTAAGGTACTGCCGCCCTCGGCGACTGCCCGGGTTGGGTGGGCAAGTCAGGTTGACCCTGCCTACGGGGAGACGCGACTTTCCCCCTAGAGGAAGGGGAGGATTTCTTAAGTGGCCACTAGCGGGGTGTGGAAACTATTCCCCCCACCCTCTCTCAAAGCACTCCGCTCCAAAATCCCACTTCTTTTTTCTGCTGGATAACGTCTACTCAGGAACAAACCACAACAAGCTCATGCTACTAATTAGACTATTGTGAAGACAAGATAATGTTTTAAAAAGTTAATATATATATGAAGAGGCGAGGGGTCCGTCCGGGACTCCTGTCCGTGCGCATGGGGGGTGGGGCCGTGTCCCGGGCGCGGCCCCTCGTGTCGGGGGAGATGTTGGTGTGTTGCACAGCTCCGCTTTGGAGCCAGCTAGTCAAGTTAGTTTTAAAGGGTTGTGTTTTTTTGGGGGGGGGGAGGGGTTGTTATTTCTTTGTTCTCCTGTATTAAAAAATTTCCTGTAATTTTTGTAATTTTTTTCTATTTATTGAATCATTTATTGTATCCTTTGTTTTGTTTTGTTTTGTAAAAGGCTTAACATAAACCACAACTCTTTTTGGTTTGGTTTCTCTTTTGGACACGTCATGTGTGTGGGGTTTTCTCTGTCTCTGTGTGTGTGTGTGTTTTCTTGGAAAGGTTCCCGAGTGAACCCGCCCAGCTGGCGTCGCCCAGGCAGGGACCTTGCGCCTGAGCAAGGGGTAAGGAGGGTACGTTGCACAACCGCCACAGACTTCCTCGTATGGCTGAGAACTCAAAGAATTTGCTTGCTCTCTAGATTTGCCCCCAGTGGCACCTTAGAGACCAAAAAACTTGAGACTCAAACTTCCCGTTGTCAGATAGGGGAGCTTTGACTTTTGGAAGTTCATACCCTTCCCAAAATCTTGTCGGTCTCTGAGATTCCGATGGACTCAAATCTTGCTCTTCTACAGCAGACCAATGTGGCTACCCTCTGAAATAGCTTTGTGTCCCAAGAAGAAGAAATAGAATCATAGAATGTTAGAGTTGGAAGGTACCTTGCAGGTCATCTAGTCCAACCCCCTGCACTCTGCAGGAGCATATCTGAAAGATAGCCCTACAACGTACCCCCCAAAAGACGGTCGTCCAGCCTCTGCTTGGAAACGCCCAGCGATGGAGCACCCACCACCTCCCAAGGCAGACTGTTCCACTGCTCAACCACTCTTACAGTTAGGAAGTTTCTCCTGCTATGTAGCCGGTAGGCGTGCCGTAGGGTGAAGTAAAATCGGAAGGGTAGGTGGTTTAGGCCTGCTGTAGGCTGAGGTATAATTGGAAGGGTAGGAGGTTTAGGCCTGCCGTAGGGTGAAGTATAATTGGAACGGTAGGAGTTTTAGGCCTGCTTTAAGGTAAAGGTAAAGGTTCCCTTGATCAAAAGCCAGTCAAATTCAACTCTAGGGTTGCGGTGCTCATCTCCATTTCAAAGCCACAGAGCCAGTACTGTCCGAAGACGTTTCCGTGGTCATGTGGCCGGCATGACTAAACACCAAGGCGCACGGAACGCTGTTACCTTTATTTCTTTATTTCCTCCTAATTATAGTTCTAATAGGGAAAAAGCTATTCAATGCCTAAAGGATGCTAATCCTAATATTACAGCTGTAGTGGCTAAGTTTCTTGCCGAAGTTGTCAAAGTTAGATCTACTCTAGTCAAGGATTGACTTATATTGTTTATTATGTTTTATATAGCCATAGCGTGTTATTGTACATCTAGCCACGGTGACTGAGGGGAATCTCTACATTTACAGGCACTAATCCTCTGGATCCCAGAGCCAGGAAGCAACATCAGGGGAAGGCCTCAGCCTCTATACCCTGTTGTTGGCGGTCCAGAGGAACTGGCTGGCCCCTGTGTGAGACGGGAGGCTGGACTGGAGGGACCCTCCCTGGTCTGACCCAGCAGGGCTCTTCTGGTGTTCTTACATAAGGGGGCCATACAAGAAGAAGACCGGGGAGCTTTTTTACATGTGGCCATCTCTTCTCCACCTGACAACTTACCCCAGACCTTAAAGGCCTCATCTACACCTGGAGCAGAATGGGGTGAGAGGGGGAGGACTTAATTCAACCCACAGAAGGGCGCTAGAGGGACACACTTTTTGTGTGTGTGTGTGCATTATTTTCTGGGAATCTAGGTGGATTCCGTAGACGGACTCAGACTCAACAAAGAGGATGGGACAACCAGTAGAGAGGCAGAAGTCTAAAAGAACTGAAGCAAAGCCGGAGTCTTAACATGACACATCATGAGGCAAAATTACAGGATAAGGTCCTACCTACAGCAAGTATAAGGCCACTGTGCTCGAGTTGCCAACTGCCTAGAGCGAGATGTCCTGTCCCTTTAACACAGGCTTCACGGGGAAATCTACCAGGTGATGTACCTCCACACCATGAAAAGTTTCACCTCCTCATCAAGGCTCCCTCTAAGCTGTGGAGTCCTGTGAGCAAAAATTCTACTTGGTGAGCTCCTGGCATTAAAGTTGTGAGCGAGTGATTTGGCTCCTGCATAAATTAGTTTGCTCTGGAGCCCTCCTTCCTGGGCTAAGACAAAAATGGGTGAGCCGTAAGCTATAAAACTGTGAGCTAGCTCACACTAACTCAGCTTAGAGGGAACGCTGCCCTCATGTGTTCATATTAAGACACTATTAAAAGAGGAGGTTTACTTTCATGGTCCCAAACTGGATAGCCGGATCTCGTCAGATATTGGAAGCTAAGCAGGGTCAGGCATGGTCTGTACTTGGGATGGGAGACCACCAAGGAAGTCCAGGGTTGCTACGCAGAGGCAGGCAATGGCAAACCACAGGGGTCATTTCCTGCGGGAGCGCACAGGAGCAGAGCTCCGGCAGTAAGGAGCCCAGGGGGCGGGCACATGCAACAAGGCCCCACCCCCTGCTCCCAGCAGCCCTCAGTCGGGCCACGAGGAACAAGAAGCAGCCAGGTAAGTTGCAGAGGCCCCCCGCCCACCTTCAGGTACAAGCTCTCCCTCCTCTGTAAGGGCAGATCTGCGTGTTCTCCCCTCCCCAATAGCTAGCAATCCAAAATTTGGGTACTGCATAAAATCTGCTCTGGAGCTCTCCTTCCCCAGTGAGGACAAAAATCTACGAGCCGGAGGCTCAAACAATGGAGAGGCAGCTCACACTAACTCAGCTTAGAGGAAACACTTCTAATGCTCCCCCTAAGCTGTGGAGTCCTGTGAGCAAAAATTCTGCTTCGTGAGCTGCCGGCATTCAAATGGTGAGCGAGCGATTTGGCTGCTGCGTAAATCAGCTGGCTCTGGAGCAGTGTTCCCTCTAAGCTGAGTGAGTGTGAGCTGGCTCACGGTTTTTTAGCCTCCGGCTCACAGATCTTTGTCTCAGCTCAGGAAGGAGGGCTTCAGAGCAAACTAATTCATGCAGCAGCCCAATCGCTCGCTCACAAATGTAATGCCAGGAGCTCACCAAGTAGCATTTTTGCTCACAGGACTCCACAGCTTAGAGGGAGCCTCGCTCTGGAGCCCTCCTTCCTGAGCTGAGACAAAAACGTGTGAGCTGGAGGCTAAAAAAAACTGTGAGCTCGCTCACACTCACTCATCTTGGAGGGGACACTGTATCCCTACCCAGTTTGGTCGCCTCTCTTG